ATACTCCAGAAACTTCGTTTTTGTGGCTGCATCAAACTATGTTGAATTGGTTGAGATATTCATTGAAAAACTATAGCAAAATGTGCTGCAGGATGTCCCGCAAAAAAAGCAAAGTGTTGGCAGTTGAATAAAGTTTCTCCATGTTTTTATGACAGAACCATTGAGGAAATGACATTTATCACCCAGGAACAAAAATTCTGTTGCATAGTGTATTCCTCCCAAAAAAAAGTGGGGAAACATGAAATCAGGGTGGACTGCATCTGATGGGATTGTCTTTGATGGTGTGTCCCTGCATGGCAGAGGGTTGCACTGAATGGCCTTAGTAGTCTCTCCCAACTCTAGCCCCTTCCACACAGCTAAATAAAACCCCACATTTTCTGCTTTATTTTATTTATTTCGAACACTTGTACCCCGCCCTTCTCAACCCCCTGGGGTGGACTCAGGGCGGCTTCCAGTTGGCAACAATTCAATGCCACATAATAAAATACAAACAACCAATAATTATAATAGTTAAAAACATTAAAACAATATACTTATGAACTACTAAACTCTTACCAGTCTGGTGGCCATTATCTAGCCAAATTCTGTGATCCATTTAACATATCCATAATCCATTTCCAAGCCATTGTCAACACTGTCATTGTCATTTCTGCCTAATTACCCAAAAGCCGGATCCCACATCCACGTTTTTACCTTCTTTCTAAAGATGAGGAGGGATGATGATAACCTAATTTCCCTAGGGAGTGAATTTCACAGGCGGGGGCCACCACCAAGAAGGCCCTGTCCCTTGTCCCCACCAAACGTGTTTGAGACAAAGGCAGGGCTGAGAGCAAGGCCTTCCCAGAAGATCTTAAACTCCGAGGTGGGACGTAGAAGGAGATACGTTTGGACCTGTATGCTTTAAACTGAAATATATGCCAGTGTGGTCTCAGATAACCTGATTCAAACCCAGTACACCAGCTGACATTCCCTGGGGAAGTACTAGCTAATAATGAAAGGACCAAGGCAGTGAAATCTCCAGCTCATCCTCAATAATAATAATAATAATAATAATAATAATAATAATAATTTATTTGTACCCCGCTACCATCTCCCCAAGGGACTCGGTGTGGCTTACATAAGGCCAAGCCCACAGTACATCAATAAACAAAACAATCAATACAATACAAATCATATAAATCATACAAACAAACAAAAGCAATGAACAATCAACAGTGACATACAAGCACTTTAAAACCAGTGGCCGGGCCAAATGTAATAGAATAAAATTTAAAAATATAATGCTGATGTGAACAAGGTAGGATATAACTGGGACAGGACTTTCAGAGAGAATGAGGGAAGTGATTTAGGACAGTCAGTCCTAAATCAATGGTAAAGTGCATTTTGAGGGCATATTGCTGAGAGTTTTCCTTATTCTGGGAAGGCACACTGGAACAGCCACGTTTTCAGACTCCTCCTAAAGACTGCCAGAGTTGGGGCATGTCTGATGTCCCTGGGAAGTGAGTTCCAGAGTTTGGGGGGGGGGGGCACTACCTCTGTTCGGATATCAGCCAGCATGCTAATGTCTTAAATCAAGAAATAGTTTTCTAAGATCTATAGAGATAGTTGCAGAAACACCTCAGCAAGCAAGAGTCCAAAAGTGGCAGGCTAAAACGCAGAACCTCAATCCATGGCTGATACCAGATGAGAGACCCCCTCCTGGGCACACAGAAGATTGGGCAACTTGGAAGGCCCTGAATAGACTTCGCCAGCAGAGGAAGAACCAATGTTAAGAAATGGGGCCACCAAGTGGAGTCCATGACATGCAACTGTGGAGAAGAGCAAACCACAGACCACCTACTGCAATGCAGTCTGAACCCTGCTACATGCACAATGGAGGACCTTCTTATAGCAACACTAGAGGTACGTCATGTGGCCAGCTACTGGTCAAAGGACCTTTAGTATAATGCCAAGTTTTTTAAACTTTTTGTTTTTAAAATACATTACATCAGTACCCAGCTCAAAGCAGATATTGTGGGATTTTCTGCCTTGATATTCTGTGATATAGAGCAGTGTGGAAGGGCCCTCAATGTATGGCTCTGTGGTTCTAGGGTGTGAAAGTCTCACCATCCCCAGTCTGAGTGGTTGAATCCGTGGAGCCTGGGAGTGAGGCTCCAATCTGAGGAAGCCTGGCGAGGAGGAGAGAAAAGGGGGAGGCCTGGCTCCTCCTGCCCTGCAGACTAGCCAACCCTGCTGTCAGATCTCCTGGCTGCAAAATGTTGCATAATCAGCACTAAAGGAAAGTATGGTTCTAATAGTAGAGGAGTACAGAGCGTATCCTCTCTCTCTCTCTCTCTCTCTCTCCTGCTTCTTCTTCCTTCTTTTATTACTTTGGAAAGACGGAGAGTTCCAACTGTACAAAGGCCAACAACGTCCCCAGTTTTTCTTTCAAGGCTGCTGCTTGAAAGTAAGAGATCAGATTTTAGCAAGTGCTTTACAGGCAAGAGGCCAAAAAGTGCTTTTTTTTCTCCCCTCATTCCCTAAAAACAACCAGGGGGATAGGAGAAGGGGTTTGTGATAAAGGTGAGGAGTGGGGGAAAACAGAAATCCCCACCCTCTCCCCCAAAATAAGGGAAAGTAGGGCTCTCCTTTTCCTTTTCCTCCTCCTCCTCCTCCTGGCCTTTTCCTTCCAACCGCAGAGTAATTTACAGCTGAAGAGTCGGAGGGAGTGCGCCTGGCTTTCTTTCCCTCTCTCTCTCTCTCTCTTTCTCTCCATCTCTCGCTCTCCCTTCTTTCCCTGAGTCCCCGCTCCTTGTTGTTTTTTCCTACTGGATCCTTTCAAGGGAAGGAGGGAGGGAGGGGCGTTTGGGGAGAGTCTGGCTTGCGGCGCGGCTCCGGTTTCAGAGGCTTTAATCCGTTTGTACAGGATCCGTTCCTGCCCGACGTGCAAGAACCGCAACAGCAACGCTGGCAAACAGGTGCATTCCGGGAGGGAGGAGAGGCAGGCGCTGCCGAAAGGGAGGAAGAGCAGGAGGAGGAGGAGGAGGAGGGAAAAGGGAAGAGGAGGAGAGGAAGAAGAGGAAGAGGAAGAGGAGGAAGGGGAAGAAGACGGGGAAGAGGAGAAGGAGGAAAAGGAGGAATAGAGGAGAGGAAGGAGAGGAAGAAGAAGAGGAAAGGGGGAAGGGAAAAGGGAGGAAGAAAGAGGAGGGGAAGGGGAAGAAGGAAAGGAAAGAGGAGGAGGAGGAAGAGGAAGAAGAAGGGAAGAGGAAAAAGGAGGAGGAGAAAGAAGGAGAGGAAGAAGAGGGGAAAGAAAAGAGAGAAGGAGAAGAGGAGGGAAGAGGAAAGAGAAAAAAGAAAGAAAAGGAAGAAGAAGGGAAGAGAACAAAGGAGAAGGAGAAAGAGGAGGGAAGGGAAGAGGAAGAAGAAGAAGGAGAGAAGAAAAGAGAAGAGGAGAAAGAAGAGGAAAGGGAAGAAGAAGGAGAAAAGAAGAGAAGGAGAAGAGGAAGGAGAAGGGGAAGAGGAGAGAAAAGAAGAGGAAAAAGGAGAGGAGGGGAAGAGAAGGGAAAAAAGGAAGGGGAAGAAGCGGAACAAGAGAAGGAGGAAGGGGAGGGGGAAAAGAAGAGGAACAAGAAGAGGAAGAGAAAGAGGCGGAGGAGAGGGAAGTGGAGGAAAAGGGGAAGAGGAAAGGAAGAAGAGAAAGAGGAGGGAGGGGAAGAAGAAGGGGAAGAGGGGAAGATGAAGGGAAGAAGAGGAACAAGATTAGGAGGAGGAAAAAGAAGCGGAGGAGAGGAGAGGAAGAGGCGGAGGAGGGGAAGAGGAAGAACAAGAGTGTTGAAGGGAAAAGAGGAGATAAAGAAGTGCAGCGAGAGGAGGAAGAGGAAGGAGAATGGCAGGAGGAGGAGGAAGGAGATGAAGGGTAGCAAGAAGGGGGAGGAGGGGGGAAGAGGAAGAAGAACAAGAGGAGGAGGTGGAAGCGAGGAAAACGATGAAGAAGATATGAAGGGAGAAGAAAAAGAGGCAAAGAAGCAGTGCAGGAGGAGAGGGAGGAGGAGAAAGAGAAAGAAGAGGAGGAGGAAGAAGAGGAGGAGGATTGATTGACTGACTGACGCTCTTTTCCAAGCGGCGGCGGCCGGACATATCCTGGCAGGAAAGCCCAAGGTCTCCCAACCAAAAGCCGGTGGGAAGCCGGCCCACACCAAAAAACCAAGTGGGCCAGACGTACACGCACGCCCACTCGCCAAAACAAAAAAAGGGGAAGGGAAGGGAACACGGGGCTCATCGGACCCCTCCTTACACCGCCGAGGCCGCCGCACCTGCTCTGCCAAATTGTCCGCTCTCCCGACGCACGTGGGAATGGACACGAGTCCCGAGTCGGCGCCACTCCCCCCCCCCCAATACATCCATCCCTCCCTCCCTTCCAAAAGAGAGAAAAGTTCCAAGTCATGGAAAATAATGTGATCCGCTCCTCCACCCAAGACCACGCCACCCGTTCCTTAACCCACGCCTCTACCAACTGGGACGCTCCGAGTGGGAGAGCAGCCCTCTCCGAGTGGGTTTGGGGAGAAGGGTCGTGGCGTGGAAGGCAGGAGAGGGTCCTGAGAGAGAGAGGATGGAGCAAGTCCGCACTTTCCTTCAAGGGGGGCTTGGGTGGAAGTGGCCAAAGTGCCGAGGTGCCCATTTCTCTCTCTCAAGCCCTTTCCACGCAGCCCTATAACCCAGGATATCAAGGCAGAAAATCCCACTAGATCTGCTTTGGCGATCTGAGTCCACACTGCCATCTATCCCAGTTCACAGCAGAAAATTGTGGGATTGTCTGCCTTGCTATGTCTGTGTGGAAAGGCCCTGCGTGTCTCTCTTCCGCGGCAAGTGCAATCCCATCTCCCCAGCCATCCCTCCTCCCGCTTGTCCCTCGTGGGAAGCCCTCCAGGGCAATGCCAAGTTGCCATCTCCTTTCTCCCCCCAAATCCGCCCAGCTCGGGGTCAAGGGAGGGCGGGGGAGGAATCGGATGAAAGTCCCTTACCTGTACCTGGAGGCACAGCAGCAGGAGGTGTAAACACCTGGGGAGGAAGGAGAAGAAAGAGAGAAGAGAGGTCAGAAAGTGAGAAGGAACTCGCTCAAGTTCACCCGGCTTTGGTTGGGTTGGGTTCTCTCCTTCTGACGGGGAAAGACCAGACAACCGCCTCCCCCCGCCTTAAAAAACCCAACCTCAATGACACTTCTGTCCCAAACCTACCCACCCACCCACTCGGTGCTGTCTCCCACTTACAAGCAAGTGCAGGCGGAGAGCAACGAGTAATACATCGCGAAGGAAGGAAGGAAGGAGGCGAAGGAGGGGGCGGCGGCGGCGGCGCTCAAGTGGCTCCCGGTCAACGGAGTCAGTTCCCCGACCGCAGCTTGGCCATGACGAGGAAGAAGAAGAAGGGGAGGAAGAAGAAGAGGAGGAGGAGTGCCCAAGCCTGGCAGCTTCGTCCGCTCCGGGGCGATCCCGCGTCGTGGCGCCGAGCCGCAGCAGCCAAGGCGGAGAAGTTGAGCGGTGCCTGCCTGCCTTGCCTCCTCCGAGTGACTCCCTTAGACATCAGCTCGCCTCTTCCTCCCCGCCCCCCCTTCTCTCTCTCTCTCCCCCCCCCCCCCTCCTCCTCCTCCTCCTGTGTGCCTCGCTCTCTCTGTCTGTCTCTCTGTCTGTCTCTGGGCAGAGGAGGAGGAGGAGGAGGAGGAGAAGGTGCTGCTAGTGCTGCTGCTGCTGCTGGATGGTCAGGAACTTCCCATCATCGGCCACAACAGCCCCCTCCTCCTCCTCCTCCTCCTCCTCCTCCTTCCCTTCTCCCCCCTTCAAGCCTATTCTCTGCTCAGAGGAGACGCGGCACTGGAGCAGCAAAGGTTCCTTCCAAGTGGGTCCTTCTCTCCCTCTCTCTCTCTCTCTCTCTCTCTCTCTCTTTCTTGTGTCGGGACAATGCCACCCAAATGGCTTGGAGAAGGACAACCTGCAGAGAGCAGGCAAGCGAAGGGGTCCTCCTTCCTTCTTTCCTTCCGCTTTCCCTCCCTCTTCCTTTCTCTTGTCTTCGTCTCTCTTTTTCCTTTCTCTCTCTTGTGCCGGGACAGTGCCACCCACTTCTCCACCCAGATGGCTTAGAGAAGGGCAACCTGCAGAGAGGAGGCAAGCAAGGGGGTCCTCCTTCCTTCCTTCTTTCTTTCCTTCCTTCCTTCCTTCCTTCCTTCCTTCCTTCCTTCCTTTCCTTCCTTCCTTCCTTCTTTCTTCCTTCCCTTTCCTCCCTCTTGTTTTTTTCTGTCTCTCCCTTTCCTTTCCAAAGAAGGAGACCACCACAGTCCGGGGCAGAGAGTTCTTGTACTCACTTTTTCTTTCTTTCTTTCTTTCTTTCTTTCTTTCTTTCTTTCTTTCTTTCTTTCTTTCCTTCCGTTTTCCTTCCCTCTTGTTTTCTGTCTCTGTCTCTTTCCTTTCTCCCTCTCTTCCTTTCTCTCCCTTGTGTCAGGACAATGCCACCCACTTTTTCCTTCCTTCCTTCCTTCCTTCCTTCCTTCCTTCCTTCTTCTTTCCTTCCGTTTTCCTTCCCTCTTGTTTTCTGTCTCTGTCTCTCTCTTTCCTCTCTCTCTCTCTCTGCCTTTATCTCCCTTGTGTCAGGACAATGCCACCCACTTTTTCCTTCCTTATTTACTTCCTCCTTTCCTTCCGCTTTCTCTCCCTCTTGTTTTTGTCTCTGTCTCTCTCTTTCCTTTCCCTCTTTCCTTTCTCTCTCTCTTTCTCTCCCTTGTGTAGAAACAATGCCACCCACTTTTTCCTTCTTTTCTTCTTTTCTTCCTTTTTTTCCTTCCTTTCTTTCCTTCTTCCTTCCTTCTTTCCTTCCACTTTCCCTCCCTCTTTTTTCTGTCTGTCTGTCTGTCTGTCTGTCTGTCTGTCTCTCTCTCTCCTGCCTTCTTCCCCACTCAGCATCCTTCCCTGGGCATCATCCTGGGCCTCCGGAGGCAGGGACTCAAGGATGGAGACCTACCACCAAAGCGTCCAGCCGCCTCTTTTGGTTCTCAGAAACTGAGCCCACAAGAGAGAAAGGGAGAGAGACAGCCCAAGCAGGAAGAGAGTTGGGCTCCAACAATATGAAGTGTCAGTCTAGTCCTCTTCACCCTGAAGGAGAGGGACCACAGTCCTGTTAACGCTGCACAATTCATAAAATCATAGAAGAGTTGGAAGACACCCAAGGATGAGCCATCCAGTCCAGCCCCCTGCCAGGCAGGAACAGTCCACTCCAAGCAATCTCCTCCCGCACCCAGGGCCCTTCCACACAGCCATCTAACCCAGAATATCAAGGCAGAAAGTCCCACAGTATCTGCTTTGAATTGGGTTATCTGAGTCCACACTGCCATAGATTCAAGTTCAAAGCAGAAAATCTGGGATTTTATTTATTTGTGTGGAAGGGACTCTTTTTGAAACAGCAGATCCCACTGTCAAACAGTGACAGGAGACTCTTTTTGAAGCAGCAGATCCCACTGTCAAACAGTGACAGGAGACTCTTTTTGAAACAGCAGATCCCACTGTCAAATAGCTGTAGCCATCAAGAAGTTCTTCCCAATGTTTAAGTGGAATCTCTTTTCCTGCCACTTGAATCCACTACTCTGGTCTCTCGAAAAAGGAGTTTGGCTCTTACTCAGAGTGACATCCTTTTGCATATTTAAGCATAGGCATCATGTCCCCTCTTAGCCTTATAGTGACACCCTTTCACATATTTAAGCATGGCTATCATGTCCCCTGGGCCCCTGCTGGTGCAGTGGGTTAAACTGCTGAGCTGTTGAACTTGCTGACCTAAAGGTTGGTGGTTCAGATCCTGGGAGTGGGATGAGCTCCCACTGTTAGGCCCAACTTCTGCCAACCTAGCAGTTCAAAAACATGCAAATGTGAGTAGATCAATAGGTACTGCTTCTGTGGAAAGGTAATGGCACTCCATGCTGGCCACATGACCTTGGAGGTGTCTATGGATAATGCCGGCTCTTTGGTTTAGAAATGGAGATGAGCACCACCCCCTAGAGTTGCACACGATTAGACTTAATGTCAGGGGAAACCTTTACCTTTTTTTATCATGTCCCCTCTTAGCCTTATAGTGACACCTTTTCACCAGGAACACCTTTTCATTATGTCCCCTTTTAATCATATGGCACTATAATTCCCCCACAGTATCCTCCTAGGGAATTCTGGGAGCTGCAGTCTTGGGAGTGGGGTACCAGGCCTACTCTGAGTCCAGGACACTGCAGGAAAAAGCCATAATGATAATATAATAATAATACACTTTGTTTATATTCCACTCTATCACTCCGAGGGGACTCAGAGCAGATCATACACAGAAAGGCAAGCATTCAATGACTTTAATAGGTGAAATGAGAATGACAAACAAATACACAAAACAAAGGTAAAAGCTTCTTTCCTTTGTGTTCAGGGCAATGCCTCCCCATGGGGAGGTGCTTTTCTCCATTTCCAAGTTGAGGAGCCTGTTGTCCATAGACACCTCCTGGTCAAGTTGGCTGCATGGGCACCTTTTATTACCTTCCAGCCGAAGTGGTACCTATTGATCTACTCACATTTGTATGTTTTTGAACTGCTAGGTTGGCAGGAGCTAGGGCTAACAGGTGCTCACCCCAACCTGTGGCTTCAAACTGCTAACCTTTAGCTTAGCAGATTCAACACTTCAACAGTTTAACCTGTTGTGCCACCATGGCCCCACTAGCCATAACACTATCTAACACGATTTTTGTTCCTGGGTTATAAATGTCATTTCCTAATTGGCTCTATCATAAAAACATGGGGAAAGTTTATGAAACTGCAAAAACTTTATTTTTACGGAACATCCTGCAGCACCTTTTGCTATAGTTTTTCAATGTATATCTCCTAGTCTCAACCAATTCAACTTAGTTTGTGGCAGCCACAAAAACAAAGTTTATGGAGTATAACAACTACTTTCAAAGTAATGACTGCACAGTTAAACAGGAAATAGCACTTTCAAACTGGGAACAGCAAAAAAAATCAAATTTTGTTACATAGTCTAGGGAAGAGGGCCTTGGTTTCCTCTCCAGAGAACAACCTGGCACCCTCCATGTTGATGCCACAGCTCGAATCCCCAAGTATTTGCCTTACTGGCAAGGCAGATGGCAATTGTCATCCAAAGCACTGAGAGGGGCTTCATGCTGCCAGCTTTACTACCCTTAATGTCACTCCTTGTGACCCTCCATGTAACGGTTGCTAGACTTGGGAAACTGCCTTCTGGTAGAGGTGAGGCTTTGGAAACTGGATGCACTAATCTCCTGGTAACTGATAATTTGTGTTTTTAATTATCTGTAAGATGGTTTCAATATTTTTACTCTATAAAGGAGAGCTCTTCAAGAGACCTAGTTATCAATTGTTGTGCTTAAGTCTTGCAAACTCACAGCCTCTGGCTTTATTGACTCCACCACTAACACAATCTTCCTCATTTTCCTACTGCCTCCCAATTTACTGAGAGTTACCATCATTTCTAATGAGCTATGCCATCTCATGACATGTCCAAAGTAGGATAGCCTCATATTTTGGTTACCAGGGAAAATTCAGATTTACTGAATTGGGAGCAGGGAATCTTTCCGATGGGGCTGTGTATTGCTCAAATAGGAATTTATTTATTTATTTACTTTATTTATACACCACTCTTCTCACCCCGTAGGGGACTCTGAGCGGCTCACAAATCAGGGCAAAAATTCAATAAAGAAGGAATGAAAAAGTCCTGTTGCATTGGCGAAGACTCACTAAATGGAGACCTGGACTTCTCTTCCAAAGCCTTGCCTTGCCACCACTGGTCTAACAAAGCCCATCTTACCTTCTTCTAAGGTCATTCGCCACCTTGCTATCTCCCCACCCTCAAAAGAGGTGAATGAAGAGCAGCAACAGATGAATTCTGGGCACTCCCAAGCAGAAGGAAGAAATAGTCACCTAAAAGACCACACTGGAGGATGGAAAGGATCTTTTGGGGTCATTTGCGTTGCAACTAAAACCAAACTGCCCTTCACATGATAGAAGGGAGAATTTACATAGATATCAAACCTTGGGTTGTTGTATGTTTTTCAGGCTGTATGGCCATGTTCTAGAAGCATTCTCTCCTGACGTTTCGCCTGCATCTATAGCAAGCATCCTCAGAGGTTGTGAGGCAAGCATCCTCACAACTTCTGAGGATGATTGCCACAGATGCAGGTGAAACATCATGAGAGAATGCTTCTAGAACATAGCCATACAGCCCGAAAAACCTACAACAACCCAGTGATTCTGGCCATGAAAGCCTTTGACAATACATATCAAGCCTTCTCTGGATTTTGAAAGGGATCCAGCTTTCTCTTGGAGCAGAGTATCTCTTTACAACCCTTAGCAGCAGGAATAGCCAGCATTGCATTCAATTCTATAACCAGCAGTCCTTCGCCTTCTGCATCCACATTCTGCCTTTGCAAGAGAACTTTACCTGTTGAATCCCACCTCTCAGAACAGGGCAGGAAGCAACTTGACTTGGCTGTCTTTTGACAGGAACCAGCCCAAGACCTTTGGCTACCTAAGACAGAGGAAACAATG